AAAAGAGGGAGCGGGGCTGTGAGGGCAGTGCCGGGGAAGATCAGATCATGGGCGAGCACCGGCGCGATCAGAGCTGTGAGGGAGGCACCGAGGGAAGACGGACTGAGGGGAATGCTGTGGAGATTGAGGCTGTGAGGACCCAGCCAGCTGTGGGAAACCGGAGGGAGCGGGTCTGAGACATGCTGAGGGAGCGGATCAGGCCCGTGCAAAGACCAGGGGCCTCATGGTGGCCTGACAGTGCCCTGTTGACACCCGTCACACAGGTGGCTGGCCTGGGCAACTATGGGCTGTGGGGCACACGGCACAGTGTGGGCATGGAGGTGCTGGACCGGCTGGCCCGGCAGCTGGCTGTGGCTGAGGGCTGGCGAGTGGACAAGCGGTGCTGTGCTGATGTGGCCCTGGCCACAGCCCATGGCCTGGAGCTGGTGCTGCTCAAGCCGCGGAGGTTCATGAACCTCAATGGGCTCAGCGTCGCCAGTGCTGGTGAGCAGTTGGATCAGCCCCAAAGCTTCTGTTGCCACCAGCCCCCTATGACAGCCCTGCTGTTTCCCTGCCCTCCACAGCTCCCTACAACCCCACCCTGCAGAGTCAGGGCCTGGTGAGTCTGTCTCCCCCTCATTTTTTGGGCTGTATTTCTGCTTTCAAAGCTGAGATCTACAGTCTTGGCCCTGAAGATATTTACCTGGTTCACGACGACCTGGACAAGGCCCTGGGCAAGGTGGCAATCAAGCTGGGAGGCAGCGCAAGGTAGGGGTAGCCCCAGCTCTCTGATTGTGTGAGCTCGTTTGAGGCTTTAACATGCCCATACAGGCTCATGGGCTGTTCTTGGCCCCATCCCACCAGCCTTGTAATGTTTCAGCTCTTGTCCTGGGCTTGATCCATTTTAGAGGCAACAGCTGGCTGTTTGGGCAGCCTCCCAGTTCCTGCCCTGGCAGGGAGGGCAGGGAGCCTCCTGGAAGCGGCTATGGGCTGGATTCAGCCCATTGACAGCACCACATGGGCTTTTTATAGCACTCTGCCTCCACTGTGCCTGCCTAGTGCCAGCTTCTGGGGCAGGCTGCAGATATTTAACCTAGGAAAGCTTCCACTGCAGGATGGGGCAGGTACAGTGCTGGGCCCCAGTGCTCAGTCACACATGCACCAGCTGCGACAAGAGCTGACAGACACAGAATGTGCTGTCCTGCCCCTGCTTCCCTCAAACTCCCAGCCAACAGCTCTGAGCCCCCCGGGCTGGATGTTCCTGCAGAACTAGGACATGGGGACTGCAGTCCTTGGCTGGGACCACATTCCCACATTCCTGCAGCAGGAGACCCCAGGGCTATACAGAGGAGGGGGTGTCTCTTACAGACTAACTGTGGCTTTTCTTTCTTTCCCAAGGGGACACAACGGAGTCCAGTCCTGCATCAGTGCTTTGCACTCTAGTGTGAGTGGGACTCAGTGGAATGGGATCAATCCTGTGCCCCCCTTAATGCATGGCTTGTTTCCTCCACTCCCATTTTTCTGATTTCCCTCAGAAAAGCCCCTGCTCCCTTTCCCCTCCTTTTCTTCCTCCCCTTCTTCCCGGAGGGCTGTTGTCTGTTTGGCCGCCATGGAGGACATGGAAACAATTAACTTGAGTGGCTTCTGCCAGGTCTGGCAGGAGCCTGGGATCTCGGCACAGCACAGCAAAAGCCTCTTCCAAAATTATGTTTCTTGGAGCAAGCACTCAAAACCACCTGGAAAACATGAGGAGCTGCTCTCTTGCTGCCCTGCCCCACTCTCAGCACTGTCACCTTGCCTAACTCTGTCTGAATGCTTGAGGGGAAGCTCCCCCAGCTCTTTTCCTTCCTCCCCAGGAGATGACCCGGCTCAGGATCGGCATCGGGCGGCCAGAGGGTGATGTGACAGTGTCCAACTATGTCCTGTCTCCGTTCACTGCTGGGGAGCGGGAGAAGCTGGAGCAGATCCTGGTCCAGGCAGTGACCTGCCTGCTGGAGCACATCCAGAGCCGAGTGCCTACAGAGCCAGGGGACAGGGGCTGACACAAACCCCTGGGGACCCTTGTGGGATGGACAAGGGTGCTGCAGGTGCTCTGGAGTGACCGTGGTGCGGAGCAGAGCTGGCCCAGATGGGCAGCCTGGCTGGGCGCTGGGGCAGCCTCCTTCCCTACACCAGTCCAGGCAGTTCATGTCCCACTTGAGTCCCTGCAGAGGCTCCATACCTCAGTTTGTCACAGAAATTAAATAAAACCTCATCCTGACTCTGACCTGCTCCTGCCTCTCTTCCATGCGCCACCTGCTTGGGTTGTCCTCGGCACTGCAGCTCAAATTCATGTTCCCATCCCTGTTCAACCAGCACGGTCTGGAGGGAGGCTTCTAGTGAGAAATGGGGAGCAATAAGAGCTACTTCTGTAGAGTCCAAAGGCACTTCAGCTTTGTTGAGAAACTGACAAGCACAAAGAGCCTGGAATCTCATAGCGTGCTGCTCCCACTGAGCTACAGCAAGTTTTAGGGCTGGCCTCACAGTTTTTGAGTTCAGTGGTTTTGGCCAGTACTGTGGAGTTTCCAACAGCTGCAGGAGTTCTGGCTTCCCGCAGACCCGTTGCAGGTCTCATGGTGGAGAGGGCAGACTGAGGCAGTGTGTCCTCACCACTGCTGTGTCCCAGAGTCCTGGGCTGTGCCAGCATGTTGTGCCCAGCTCTGTATCCCACAAATGAGACACCCAGCAAAGGCAGCTCCTCGCTTGCATCCCAGCAGGCACTAGAACAAGCACTGGGACACGTGCTGGCTGACATATACCACAGTGTTGCTGCTGCTGCTTTCATCCTCTGCTCCAGCTGGCACCAGACTTTCTGCTCCATTCCCAGTTCCCAAGCTCCTCCTGGAGCACTGAGGCTGCCTGGGACCAGGGGAAAAGCTGGGAAGCAAAAGTGTCCCCAGCCTACCATCCCTTCCTCACATATTATACTGTCTGGGACTCTGCACTTGCAGAACAGGCACTTGGCCATCTCCTCCTCCCTGTTCTCCAGTACATCCAGTAGATCCAAGCTTCAGGTCCTGTGTGATCTGGAGCGTCAGAAGGTCCCTGCTGTAGCTGTTCAACCCACCCCAAATGATGCTTTCTTGAATCATTTGGTAGTTTCAGACATCTCACTGTGGGTGTCTGCTACCAAGGCCACCACCTGCTGCTCCATCACCTCCATTCCCAGGGGAGTGCTGAGCCCTGTGAAGATGCCACCCATCTTTCCCACCCAGACCCCAAGAGTGAGCTTTAATCTTCCTCCCCACCCCACCTCTCTCCTTCCCTCTCTTTCCCCCTTATGGATTTCATCCTCAAAGTTCCCAGCTGGGGAAACTGCCAGTCCCTCGCCCCTGCAACACCAAGGTGACCCCAGTGGGGTAATGCCCTGGGAACCTGGGCCAATGCCAGCACCCAGCACATCAGATCAGACAGTCTGCTTTAATCCTCCCTGGGCTTCCACCCAGGCATGGCATGAGGGACAAGCCCGGTCAGTGGCAGGAGGCTACCACGGGTGTCAGCCCAAAGTCCACTCCCCAAAGTCCAGGCTGGTGGGAGACAGCAGAGTTGGCATTGTTTGAGACTGTCCTGGAGATCTGTCCTCAGCAGAGATGGAGCACAGTGCTCCTCTGGTCTCTCCACTTGGCAGGGAAAGGCTTTCCGGAGGCAAATCCTGCCTTGGGTTGATTTGTCACATGCAGATTCAAAGAATCCTGTGGGGCTTGGTCCAGGGCAGCTGCATCTTTGAGTGGGAGTGGGAAGTATAAGGTCCTTGCCCACGGTGCTCCCAGCTGAATCACAATCCCTCATCCCTAGGAGATGTGGACACAGACGTTAGTGGTCACGGCAGGAGCAGCCCCGATGTGTTCACGCCTGCAGCCGAGGCAGTGGGAGGGCTGTTTTCCAGCCTCCCCCAGTCTGGCAGCTCCCAGGGCAGTTCTGCTGCCAGGACAAGCAACCTCAGGCAGGGAAAGTCTGACCCAGCATTAACTGTGTCTATGCTGCTGTGGCACTGAGCCAGTGTGGGTCGTCTGCCTGCCTGGCAGATGCACAGTCCCAAGGAGACCAAATTTTGATGGGAGCAAGCAGTGCTGGGATGAAACATTCCCCTGGGAGATGCCCCAGCTCTTTCCATTTCCATCTGCTTTGCAGCAGGCAAAGGAGCATTCTCCCTTCCTCACCTGAGGGGCCGGGAAGCAGCATGGACTCAGGGAGATGGAGGGCCCTGTCCCCATGTCCCCTCCAGTCCAGTGCAGCCCCACACAGGACATCTGTGCCCCCACCCCTTTCCCCACTTAGAAGAGACATCTGGTCTCTGTTTCCCATTGCTTTGAGTCTGATGGGGAGAGCTGCTGTCCCATGACAAAAACAAGCTAGGCATGTGGAACACATCTGAACATGGCACTTGCAGGGAGACGCTCCCAAGCTGCTCTGTCCCCTGTGCCCTGCTCTCACCATCAGAGCTCGTCACGGGCCGTGGAGCGGAGGTGGCCAGCACTGCCCCGTGAGTCCCTCAGAGTCTTCTGCGAGCCAACCCAGTCAGTCTTCTTGGCATCATCATCCCAGATAGTGGAAGTCTCAGTGTCACTCAGCCAGTTGCTGTCCCCAGCATAGTGCGTGGGATAAACCAGGAGGGGGTGAGCCGAAAATACCAGCAAGTCCCGTGGGGAAAAGTGCCGCTTGTAATCCTCACTGGGGAAAGTGGAGCAGACCCAAGAGGAGAAACTGGCTTACAGAGCATGGCACAGAGGAGAAAAAGCACTGGGAAAACCAGATCAACCACCCGGGGAAGGCTCCATGCAGGGATAGGGGATAGGGATGTGGGGTATCAGGCATGGAGCTGGGGAAGGCTGAGAAGGGACTGTGGAGGGATTACAGAGAGGACAGGACCTGTCGCTCCCAACCAGCTAGGGCTGGCTCTAGGCACAGAGTGGGTCTCTGGCACAGCATCCAGCTGGCCCTGAGACAGGGCTGTCTGGTGCTGTTACGCCTGCAAGCAGGGGGCTTCCAGCTGCTCCTGGTGCACATCCAGAGCCCTAATCTGTCCCTCTGTCCACCTCCAGCCTACCTTTTGCATGCCTGATTCCTGTGTTTCTCCATTCTGTTCACTGGGTTTCCCAATCCCTTCTCTCCCAGGACACCCACCCACTGGTGCTCACTCACCCCCTAAATTGCCTCCCCATCCCCAGACAAAGCCTTACTGCTGACCCCCACCCCAGAGAGGGGCATGAAAGTGCTCCAATATGGGGCTGAGACCCCTTACCAGGGGCAGGGGACCACACAGCCCCCCAGCACCAAGGTACAGGGGGTTGCTCCCTGCCCCTTGCCATGGGGCCAAGACCCTGTGCAGGGCCCACATCAAGCCCCAGCTCCATTCCTGTTCCCCCACCCCATGCTGGCAGAGGGCCATTTTCCAGCAGCCAGTGGCCAGGCAGCAGCCGACTGAGAATGAGCTCATGCTACAGATGTTTTCCTCCAGCATGAGTAATGCCTGCAAGGGGGGGAACTGGGTGAGGTGGTGACTGCAGAGAAGAAACACATTGTCCCACACTGGCATGGCCAGGCCAGCACCCTCCTGCACAACCTGCTCCTTACTTGGGGTGCTTGTCATACATGATGGGCAGATACTCGTCCACCGGCAGCATTTTGGAGAGGGGTTTGGTGGCCAGCAGCTTCTGTGCCCCATGGTGGGAGATGGCGTAGGCCAGAGTCCAGTACGAGTACCCAGCCACCACCAGATTCCGCACGCCTTTCACAGGTGCCTCATCCTCATCATTCACCTGTTTCCTCCCCAGGTAGCTGTGGGGTAGACAGGGAACCATGAGAGCCATGAGAGCCAGCCTTGGGAACCCCCATCCCACATCCCCCTGGCCCCAGTACCTACATGAGGTCCCAGTCCTGCTGTGCCCGCTCCAGCTCCTCCATCAGCCGCTGCAGCCGTGCTGGGAAGGCAGCCTCGAAGCGCACATCGTCCTCAAAGACCACTGACCGCTCCAACCTCCGGGACACAATCTGGGGGAGGGGACAGGGGTGCAAGCCTATCCCAGCACCACTCTGGGCCATACTGGGGCTACTGACCGTGCAGGACACCTCCCCAGGTCCTCCAGACGTCTGTGATGCTCACAGAGTCCCTGCCCACTGCTGGTGGCCCTTAGGGACCCCATGACCACTGTGGCCCCATACCTCCTTCCAGATATTGTAGTGGCTGAGGAAGCAGCCAACCTCGCCCTTGGTGAGTGTGCGGCCGGAGAAGGGATCGTAGTACCCAGGTAGCAGGTCCACACCCAGCACCTTGATGTCACTACTATTGAGGGTGCTGCAAGGCAAGGGGCTGCATCAGCGAGGTGTCCAGCCAGACACTCCCTGTCCCCTCCCCAAGGTGACACCATGGGACTGGCTGAGTGGTCCCCCCACGGTCACCTGCCATCCACAGCATCCACCACCCGTGGAACGATCTCCAGCTCCTGCAGGGATGCCAACATTCGCTGCCGCCGGTCTGGCCTCCGCACCAGGTTGATTAGGAAGATCTGGGAAGAGGAGAGCCCCAACAATGGGGCACATTGTCATGGGGGACACACAGCCTGCCTGGCTACTGCAGGATGGGGACAGGGGCCTGGATGGATGCAACCAGAGGAATGGACAGGGGGACACGAGCAGCTACACTGGGCACTTACTTCATCAAAGCCCATTTTTGTGAGTGGCCTGGGCAGGAGAGAAATGTGCCTGGAGCGCTGCATGGGGGGACCATCCACTGTGGAGAGAGAAGACACTCTTCAGTGGGGCCCAGATTCCCCTGACTGGGCCTGAGAGCCCTGTCAGGACCTGGAGGCCTCCAGGACCTCTCCACCCATGGCCACTCACCCATGGCCTCCAGTGTGAGATGCACAAAGTTGGCACGATCATCCTCCAGTGTCTGGTGGGCCTTCACAGGAACATTGATGTAACCAAAGTGGTGCTGGTTGCACACATGGACCTCCGCACCTGCCAGGTGACAAAGGTGAGCAGCACAGCCCACCAAGCCCCTGCACCCCCCAAAAGCCCCCATCACCCTCACCAGCCTCCTGGCAGGAGTAGGCAAAGACAATGATGTCATCGAAGGCCCAGGTGTAGTTGGGATGGGGTGGGTAGAAAGCCAATTGCAAGGTCTCCTCCTTCCGCAGGTCAATCAGGAAGGTGGCATAGACCATGGGGACACGGAAGCAGCCCACCCGCTGCCGGTTCTTGGTGGGGAAGTAGTCAGCTGTCCGG